CAGCTGGGCCAACAGCATGGGCCAGCTCAGTGGTACAGCGGTAACATGCTGCTCAAGCAATGCTAGATCTATATGGAAGATCAGGGTTTGGTTCCTGACTCAACCCTCAGTGCTGGAGATGCTTGCCTATGATCCTTGCTTGCTGTGGGAAGGCTGGGGGAGGGAGTGGTGACTCAGCCTGAGATCTTGCTGAGGGCACTTGTCCTTTGTCTTTGTCTGTCTCTTACTTCATTAAAAAAAAAAAAAGAAAGGAAAGAAGAAAGGAAGAAAGATAATTTAAATGAATAGCAAGATGTTAGAATTAATTCAGCCATATTGATAATCATCTCATATAGCACCTGAGGAGGATACAGGGGAGGGAAGGTGGCCCAATTATCCAGGGAAGGGGGAATCAGAACCCTTATGGTTAAGGACTTGAACAACAAGCTGATTGACCTCTGACTGAGGGCTGGGCAAGGGAGGAGGATAGGGTTCTGGTAAGGTGGCTGTCTAACTTACCCTGAGAGAGTGGGAGGGTCAGGGGGCATGACCACCTGCCACCATCCCAGTACTGCCTGCAGGCCTAATCTTCTCTCAGCATCTGTTCAGCCCAGAGTGCCTCTCCTGGAGCCACCCTGCTCTCTCACGCTCTCTCCGGATCCCAGGACCCTGGACCCCCGAAGGGCGGCAGATAGTTCAGAACATAGCTGACAGGAAACGAGCATTTGCACTCTGGAGTTGTGCAAAGCAGAGCATGAGTGTCCTGAACTGAGTGTTTCTGAGACCTTCAGGTAAAGGTGGGAATTTCCAGCAGGTGCCATAGGGCCAAGGTTAACCTCCAACCCCTTTAGAACAATGTCACTGAAAGGTTATAAAAATGCTGAAATAATTTCACGTTGGTTGGTAAATACTCTTTGTCCTGAAATCACCAAGTGCCCCAGTCCTTTCTCTGACTCCCTCTGAAACTTCCAACTCAACATATGAAGGGTCAATGCTTGACCACGTAGGGAGCTCTGAGAGTCTTGTTCCAGTTGAGGTAAGACCACTCTAGCTGTTAAGTCCTTAATTAGGCCGAGTGACATATCTAATTAGGGAATAGGTTAGGATTATAGGAAGCCTTGGTGGGCTTTTAAATCCAGGTTTCTAATCCTATTTTGAGTGGCAGGTACCTTTGCACATTTCTAAACCAAGGTCCTCTCTGGAAGTTTTGCTTCTTTGAGTTGGGTCTCTATTTGAGTGATTCTTGCCCATTTAAATTCTCTTCAGTAAACATTACTGATTCACTACCTTTTCCAGGTGACCTGTCTCCAAGTCAAGATACTATGTTGGATTTGCCGGGACACCTCATTTTATTGTCTGAATTTTCCAAAACTGCCTATGTATTTTCTTTCATCTTTCCCTCCCCCTCCCCATTGGGGTTCTATTGTTACTCAAAGTCTCAAACCACCCACAAGGGTTTAACTGCCTACAGGGCAGTGAGTCACAAAAAAAAAAACAAAAAAAAAACAACCCACAAACAAAAAAAACACCTCATGGTGACCTTGGAAGGGGGGTTTAGGGATTGGTTTCTTTGTCCATTAGCACACCGCACAGTAATGAGATTGCCTCCCTAGGGCTGCCTCTCCTCTTCACATGGTGACCTCCAGAGGCAGGCCTGCTGTCTGCCTTGTTCTCTCCTGTATTTCTGGTGCCTACACAGTGACTGGCATATATAGTAGGAGTAGGTGTTCAAAAAATAGTTGTCAAAAGGCAGAAAAGGGGATGCCCCTTCCCACATTTTTAATGTTTGAAATCCCCCAAAGGATTTCCTCAATGTCCTCACCCATTTCCTGGGCCCTACAAGTTGCCACATACTCCAGGCCCTGGAAAGCCCCTTCTCATCCCTGCTCTGCAGTCTGAGTTGGGAGGCCCACTTTTGGCCTAGCTTCCCTTTTGGCGAGGCACAAGGAACCCACACCCAGACTTGTCTAACCTCAGACTTGCTTACAAATCCAGCTGGAGTGAAGAACAGTTGCTTCAGGGTCTGGGCAGGACTCCAGGCTGACAGACTCTTTTTGCCCCCAAGACCTCCAGCCCCATACTTCTCCCTCACCTCACGCTGTGGATTCTGCACTTCCCCAGGGTGCACATTAGCAACGGGGAGAAGAGCGATTTCCAAGCTGACACTTTCTCCAAGGACCCTTCCAAAGCCAACGAGTACAAAAATCACCAGTTTTAAAATGTGTCTTCCCCAAGCTCATATGGAAAGACTTCTGGGAAGCTGGTCACATTCTTGACCTGGGCAGTGGTTACAGAATATTTGCCCCATAATAGTTCATTAAGTTCATTTATATTCTGTGTGCTTTCCCAATGCATATTATAGTTCACAATTTAAAAAGGCAAAAAAGTCTTTTCTCCACTCCCAAGCCCTTAAATCAATCTATTTGTATTTAAGAAGGGACTATCTGCACCCAGTTCCTGTTAGAGAAAATTGTTGTTCTCAAGAAGTTTCCTGAAAGAAACAAAAATAACTGGAAAAACAAATGACACTGAACCCAGCTCTGAATTATATCTGGAAGACAGGCCACACTGTCCTTATTTTGAGTCCAGAGGTCTAGGAGGTAGTGGGGCTTAAACCGGGCCTGAAAATATGAATGAGATTTAATAAGAGGAGGGAGGTAGAGCAAGGCATTTTAGTGGAGGGAAGAATATGAGCAAAAGTTATTAAGTGGGACTGAACCTGATGTGTTTGGAGGCAACGAAGGGGTCCTGAAACTAGGTAGTTTGTGAGAGGTAAGTCTGACTTGATGTGCCTCCCTGCTGCCCTATTGCCAAACACAGCAAGGGGATGCAGTTTATAGAGCAAGCAGCTTCCTCAGTGGAGTAATGGGGTCCCAGCCCTTTGCAAGAGCAGACATGTGTGTTTCACATTTCTTAGTTCTGTTGTTTTGTTCAAGCCACAGACTCATGTGGGCTCATAATCCCCTTCCCAGACAGACTGGAAGTTACATCTGCCACGCAGTCCTGCACAGACACTTGCTCAATCCTTGACTTTTAACCCTACCCCACCCTGCAGCTGCCTTTAAGTCCTGGCACTTACTAATAAGCTGTTTAGAAGTGGAGGTATGGTGAGGAGGTATGAGACCTCAGGACTGTAGATTCAGGGGCAGGGATGTGTGATAGGCTATGTATGACTCCATCCTATCTCCATGCCAGAAACCCTGGAATTTGGGAAGTTCAGCCCACATAACCAAGAATGTGGCTGCCATCTGACACTGGCTGTTTGGGTCCCTAAACTACAAACATGGCTACTAAATTTAACGTAAGGCAGGAAGATTAGGCTATCAAAATAGTCGTTCTGGGGGCCAGGCAGTGGCGCAGGGGTAATGCACCTGAACCCACATGGGAAAAATCCTGGGTGTGTGTCCTGGGACCTCCTTGAGCATGCCTCTGCGTGTGGGTGTGCCTGCCAGCTTTCCGGGATGGCTGCGACTGAGGGTGAATTATGGTGTGAAGATCCTGTTGGGGTGCCTCTCTCTCTTTCTCTCTCATGGAAGAAATAAGTAAACTTAAAAAATAAAAAAAAGCCTGAACCAGCTGGTGATGTGGTGATTAAGGTATCTGGATCCCACATGGCTGACTACACAGTTTAAGTCCCAGATCCTTGGCTTGAAAAACACGCTGGGGCATGGGCATATGCACATGCCTGCTCAAAATCGCAAAAGAAAAATGGAGGAGAAGGGATTGAAGCATGACCATCCCCCTGGGAGGTGCCTTCATACTTTCTCTTTCTTTTTCTCAACTTTTGGTGAGCATACACACCCCATAGCAAATTAAATCATAATAATAATATTTATTTTTAAAATGGCTCACTATCATTTAAATCCTAGCCCCCATGGCTTGAGAAACATTCCAGGTGTGTGCGTGTGCCTGCCTTAAATCCTGACAGGACAGAGAAATGAAGAAGATATTGTGGCATAACTAGGGCCTATTGGGGGTGCTCCTCTCTCTCTCTCTCTCTCTCTCTCTCTCTCTCTTATTCTCTTTGTCAAGTGCATGTACCCTCTAGTAATTAAAAAAAAAACATACTCTGCATACAATGAAGAGTGACTTTGATAATGAATGCTGCTCAAACCTGAGAAAAGCCAGTAACAAAAGTATTCAATAGTGGAAACGGTAAGACTAATCAAGCAAAAAGATTACTACGTGCCTCCCATTATGATAAACACATTTCATTTGATGCTCATGGTAATGCACAGCACCATGTGGACAGTATTTCTATTGCACAGATGAGGAAACTGAGGATTTAAGGAATGAGCTGCTTTCCCAAAGTCATGCAAATGATAAGTGCAGACACAGGAGCTGAATCCCAGAAGTCTGACTGCAGAGCCTGCCCTATGGAAGGGCAGGGATGATACCCACTAAAACCCCCTCTGTGGACTGGAGCATGAAGGCTTCGTAGTGAGCATGGCGCTCTTAAAGACCATCTGGAAAATTTCCCTTGTGTTAGTTTCTCATTAAACAACCTTTGGATTTGACTTCACTTGCAGCCCACATCCAAGGACAGACAGCCATGCTCTGCCAACATGACAGCTGTGGTTTTCATTAGTAAGTTAACAAACTGGCTGCCTAGGTCCACAATCAAATCTGTTAAGGTGAGCCCACCCTAGAGCTGATGCCCACCATGTGCCAACTTAATTGAGATTCTGAGTTGCAAAGACAACCCCTGGCGATGACCTGGGTGCCAAGGAAATCCCTCTTGGCAGACTTGGCCAGCCAGCCCCAGTGACAGCCTGGTTCTTTCAAGCTGCATGGTCAGACTGTGGAGGTCATCTGGACAAAGAAGGGAGCGACAGTGCCAGGTTCCAGTGTGCGTTCCAAGTTCCACATTCTGCGTTCAGACTCCTGACACCACAGTGAAGCAGGCCCTTGGCAGGAAACTGGTAAGGGTTCATCAAGTATATATTTCCCTCCACACGCATAATCCAGGGCTTCCAGATCTTGCGTTCTCTCTGCTTTCATTGACAGTGGCTCCCAAAGTTAGTGACCCACAGAGTTACTCAGAAAACCTTTTTTTCTTTTTTCATTTTTTCTTTTAAAGCCATTTAATTTACTTATTTAGGAGCAGAGAATGTTTGGCTTTATTATAAAAATGCTGTTTTAAACAAGTAAATTACAAAATACTGGGGAGCAGGTGAGCTAAATAATTTTCTTTTTAACTTTCAATGGTTATTTGTAGGGTTGAACTGGAGGGCTTGGCCTTGTCACAAACACTGGGTTGCTTTTCCATCAAGCTCAGTGAGTGATACATCTCTCTGTTTTCTTTTTCTTTCCTTTTTTTTAAAAGATGGGTTTTTGCTATAAGGTGCACATTGTGCTTGCCAGAGAGACAGAGAGAGAAAGTGAGAAATCACCTCCCGGGGGAATCACGCCACAGTCCATTTTCTTCTGCACTCCTCTCAGGATTTGGGGCACTCACTCACATGTGCCTAGCATGAGTTTTAAGCCCTTGGGTTTGGGACTTGAACCACAGTCAGCCATGTGGGAATCCAGTGTCTTAACCAACCACCTTCTGGCCTGAATGGTATATCTTTCTAGGACAGCATTCTTTCATGTGTGTGTGTATGTGTGAAAAACACATAACATGAAATGTATCCTCTTAACCATTTTTTTTTTTTTTTTGCTATAGGGCACATGCCCTCGCCAGAAAGACAGAGAGAGACAGAGAGACAGAAAGTGAGAAATCACCCCCCAGGGAGGATGGCCATGCCGCAATCCCTTTTCCTCCATTCTCCTCTTGGGATCTTGGGCATGCATGCACATGCGCCCAGTGTGTCGACTACATGGGAATCCAGCGACATAGCCATCATGCCAACTGCTGTCCCCTCTTAACCAGTTTTTAAGTGTACAGTATTGTTAACTCTACACACCTATTTGTACGGCTGTCCTCTAGAATGTCTTATCTTACATGACCAAAACTCTATACTCATTGAATAGCAACTCCCCATGTCCCCTTCCTCTAGCTCCTGGCAATCAGCATTCTTATTTTCTACTTCTACTTTAGACACTTTAAATAAGTAGAGTCCTATTTGTCCTTCCATGGCTAATTTATTTCACTTAGCATAATGTCCTCGAGTTCATCCATATTGTATATGTGAATACCTTTGTTTTAAGACTGAGTAATATTCTAAGACTGAGTAATATTCCATTTTATGTATGTATCACATTTCCTTTATCCAACCATCAGTGGACATTTAGGTTTTTTTTTTTTTTTGAACAAGAGAGAGAGACAGAGAAAGCAAAAGAAAGACAGACAAACATACCAGAGTTTTAATGTCATAATCCACCCCCGGCCTCAGCGACTTTGGATCAAGGCCCCATGCATGCCTGGCAATGCTAAGGTGGGGAGTATCTCTGGATGCAAACTCAGAACCTTCCCATGTGGGTCAGCCTCGCAGAACCTCATGTTTTACTACTGCTCTACTGTCCAGGCTCATTTAAGTTTGATGAAAAAACTTAAAGGAGGGCCAGATAACACTGTAATAAATGTGGCTGTGCAAATATCTCTTTGAGATCCTGTTTTCAGTTATTTCAGGTAGATACCCAGAAGTGAAATTGCTGGATCATACCTGCAGTTTTATTTTGAAATTTTTGACGAAGCTTTATACCATGTTTCATAGTGGCCACACAATTCTATATTCCTACCAGTAGTACACAAGGGTTCCAGCTTCTTCACTCTATTGCCAACACTTATTTTCTCTTTTCTTTAATCTTCCTCTTCCTTTCATTCTTTTATTAAAATTTCTTTAATTATTTAATTTTACTTATTCATTTATTTTAATTTGACTAGAGAGAGACACATGGACACACACACACACACACACAGAGAGAGAGAGAGAGAGAGAGAGAGAAAGTGAGAAAGCAAGCCACCAGGTCCAGAACTCGAACCGTGGTTGACCATGTAAGAATGTCCAGCACCTTAACCACCATGCCACCTGCTGGTCCCCCCCCCCTCATTCTTTCATTTTTTATATTGTAAGAAGACACATATGCTCTCCAGAGAGAGAAGAAAAAAAATTTAAAAAACACCCCTCAATGGGGTGTAGTCACTTCACAATCCTTTTTTCTTCATTTCTCCATCCCATCAGGATTTAAGGTGCACATGCACACATGTCTGGCCTGTTTTTCAAGCTGCCAGGGTGGGAATTTGAACCACAGTTGGAAGTACGTGATCTGGCTCCCTATGAGTGGTCTTAGGGACAGCAGTGGTGTGGTGTTCTAGGAGCTGGACTCCCACATGGCCAACTGTGGTTTGAGTCCTGGCTTGCTTTCTCACTTTCTTCTCACTTTCTCTCTCTGTGTGTATTTAATAGAAATATTAAAATAACAATAATGTAGTTAAATAAAATAATTCTTTTAAAAAAATAAAATAATGAGTCTTAACTGCTGCTCTATGGGGCAAACTCTCCTTTTTTTCCATTCATTCTTTCTCTCTCTCTCTCTCTCTTTTTTTTTTTTTTTAATAATGGTCATCCTAATAGGTGTGAATGGATATCTCCTTGTGGTTTTAATATGCGTTTCCCTAATGATTAGGGATGTTAAGTTTTTTTTTGTTTGTTTGTTTGTTTAAATTTAACAGAGTAGGTACACTTGCCAGAGACAGACACAGAGACAGAAAGAGAGGGAAGGTGAGAAAGCACTCCCCAGGAGGATGGTCACATCACAGACCCTTCTCATTTTTCTCTCAGGGTTTTGGGCATGTATGCACATGCAACGGCATGTTTCTCAAGCCAGCAGGTCTGGGATTTGAATGCGCAGTTGGCTGTGTGGGATTCAGCAGCCTTAACCATCATGCCACAAGTATTTTTTAGTATACCTATTGGCCCACATGTTTTCTTTGGGGAAATATCTGCTCATGTCTTTTGCTCATTTTCAAGTCAGGTTATTTGGTTTTTGCTTTATTTTATTTTGCTATTGAGTTGTAGAAGCCTCCTATAAATTTTAGAGCTTAACCTCACCAGATGTATGGTTTGCAAATGTCTTTCCCATTTTATATATTGTCTTTTCACTTCATTTTACTGTATAGCAGCTTTTAATTTGATGTAATCCCATTTACTTATGGTGTTGTATCCAAGAAATCATTGCCAAAAACAGTATTATAAAGCTTTTTCCTTATGTTGTATTCTAGGAATTTTATAGTTTCAGGTCTAATGTTTAAGTCTTTAATTAATTGAATTAATTTTGTGTATGTGTAAGGGTCCAATTTCATTCTTTTGTATATGGATATGCAGGTTTCCCAACACCATTTTTTGAAGAAACTATTTTTTCCTCAGTGTGTAGTCTTAGCACTGTTGTTGAAGATAATGTGATCGTAATTGTGCGGGCTTATTTCTGGGGTTTTCATTCTATTCTATCAGTTTCTATTTTTTTTTTTTGAGAGGTTTTTGCTATAGGGCGCATGCGCTCGCCAGACAGAGAGAGACAGAGAGATAGAAAGCGAGAAATCACCCCCCAGGGGGTATGGTCACCCTGCAATCCCTTCTCCTCCATTCTCCCCTCGGGATCTTGGGTATGCACACATGCGCTCGGAGTGAGTTTTAAGCCACCGCGGTCGACTACATGGGAGTCCAGCGACATAGCCATTACGCTAACTGCTGGTCCCTTATTCTATCAGTTTCTATGTCTATACTTACACCAATACTATACTGTTTTGATTATTTTAGCATTGTAATATGTTTTAAAGTAAAAAAGTATAAGACCTTTAGTTTTATTATTTTTTCTCAAGGCTGTTGTAGCTATTTGAAGTCCTTTGTGATTCCATATGGATTTTAGGATTCCCCCCCCCATTTCTGCAAAAAATACCATTGGGATTTTCTTAAACGATTGTATTACATTTGTAGATTATTTTGGTTAGCATGGATATTTAAATAATAGTAAGTCTTCCAATTGATAAACATGATGAAATGTCTTTCCATTTACTTCTGCCTTTATTTCAGTAATGTATTACAGACTTAATGTGCAAGTCTTTTATATCTTTGTTTAATTTATTCCTAAGTATTTTATTCTGTTTTATACTATTGTAAATAGTATTATATTCTTAGTCTTTCGTTGTCAGTGCATAGAAGCATAACTGATTTTCATTTATTGATTATATATCCTGC